TAAAAAAATAAAAAATAATAATAATGATAATAAAAAATGAAATTATAATAATTCAATCTTTATAATAAGCTGCCTTGGAAATAATATACTTTTGTAAATTTTCTTTTTACCCTCTAGATTTTCCGTTTACTTTATGTTCATAAAAAGTGACTTCAGTCACTTCATTTCCGACTCCAACCTCGCGGGCAACATTACGAAGATCTTCGTCAGTGGTCCACTAATAAAAAATATCCACTTAATACATTTTTTTGACAGTGGTGAAAAAGGAAAAAAAAAAAGAATTCCAATTTACCCAATTTAATTCACCAATATATAAAGCATTTGTAGCATTTGCAGCTGTCCTGCGTTCTTGCATTTGTTGAACACTGCTATTTGAAGATGCTCGTTGTACATTATTGTTGTGACCTATAATGAAGAACGATTGATGTCACGGTGCTTAGAAAAAAATCCAAATTCATGGCAATCTTTGAAATATTGTACGTTGGTTTGTATGGGCTTATTCCTATTACCTTCATGGGAACTATTATGCGCAGCAGCTAATTGATCTTCTTCGGATGGTTCCAATTTTACTTCATATCCCTGTGTTAAATTCGACAGCAAGATTTCGAACAATTATTACATAAATCATTGACGAGATTATTGGTGTGAGTGAAGAGAAAAAAGCGAAAACTAGTAAGTTCAGGTGTATTTATTTTTTTCAATAATTTTTTTAATTGATTGATTTCAATACAATTTTTGATAAAATTTTCATCGCTATACATCCTTTTTTTCCTTATTATATTACAAATATTGTCAATTAATAAGACGTCAGAACTATCATATAATAATTGAATCAATCTCAGAAAGATAATGTGCGAGAAACACAAATGCAGACAGGCAAAGAATACAAGCATCCAAACAAGTAAAGACAAAAAAGAAGAAAATATGAAAAAAATTGCAAACTTGAACCAGAATATTCCTCCCATCCTTACAATATGGCACAGCGCAGTCCAGAAATAATTATACAATATAAAAATGTATGAAAAAAACATTGGCACTAGCTGCGCTGTGAAGTAATTACGAACCTTTTCACCTTCCCCGAAATCCGCGAACAAATCATCATCTCCGTCTTTTTCTTCCTGTACACCTGAACTAATATCCGCATGATCATAATTTAGATCGTTATCTCTTCTAGTTCGCTTTATTGGATGACTATCATCGTCTTCTAATAACTCTCCATACAAGTCTTCTTGCTATCCTCGAGATAATGTCATTTTTTTCTTTAGGAATTAATTAATGTTAGTTAACAAATAAAGTAATAAAATTATACTTGACGTACTGGGTCTCCATTCGCACCGAAATTGTCGTCATTATATATATCAAATTCATCAGCCATTGAACGAAATTACAATTTTGTCAGAAACCACAACTAAAGAGTAAAGTTTTTAGTTTTCAAAAAATATGTATTTTTCTTTTTTTTTTTTTG